CCGCAGCTACCCAGCGGCCATGGCGGAGCAGCCGCGGCCCGCCTACGAGGGGAAGTTCACTGGCAGGTTCCCCGAGCTGTCGGCCGTGAGTGCCTTCGCCCAAGGGGTCCCACCGTTCCGCAGAGCCGCCGCCCGCCTCCCGCGCCTTTCTGGGGCCGGGGTCTCGCCGCAGGCTGAGGGAAGAGGTTGGAGGAGGGGCACTGTGGCGGGCGGGGACGTGTCGCTCTTTTGTTTTCACTCTTTTATCAAAACGTGGACAATGAGACAACATCTCCTGCAGGGTGTCAGATCCCAATTTGACTAGTTGTGCTCATGAGTACAGTGGCTTTAGTTACGCCTTATTTTTTGATTGTATGTTTTAGGCTGGAAAGTTGCTTCCCCCTGGCGATACAGCTGCAAGTTGCCTGACTGAGGTTTCACTCAGGGTGAGTTGGTTTTTCAGATACTCCTTGTGCAACTTTTGTAACGACCTCCCATTAGTGATTGATCTTTGAGACAAGCCCACCCCCCTCCAAAAAAAACCCAAAACAAAACAAACCCAAGCCAAAAAACAGTGAAACCTTGGTAATTTTTTCCACATCATTTCTCTTTAGAAACTACTATTTTTTTAAAATGTTAGTTTTTGTCACATGGGATCATAGAGAATGGCTGGTAGGATTGTAAAACACTTCTGGCAGTTCTTTTTCACTCTGGATGTTTTACAAAGTTCACCATGCCTGCTTAGATGGGACTGAATATCATTCTTCCACACTATTAGCATCTTCACTGACAAGATGTGGTTTAAAATTAAGAACCAACCAAAGAAAACATCCATCCCCTTACCTCCCCCAACCATATATTTATTCCATAATTTCCAGGTATACCAGCTGGAGAGATTATAAATCCACCAAAAACTTCCGAGGAAGTGGATAAAGAAGCCAAAGAAGGACATGATCTGTAGATTATTATGTGGGTAAGTGCAAAGGCTGAGAAAAAAATGGCATGAAAAGTTCTAATATAAATAAAGGTAATAATTTTTCTTGGTGTCTTCAACATGTTGTATGCTATTGTGTGAGATATAAGCTATTATTTTTATTACTGTATTAATATAATAGAAATTATTTTTAAAGGTAGTGGTTTGAAAAAGCATATGCCACTGAGAGAGCATGACCTGTTTGTAGGACTGAAAATCACTTCATGGTGGGTGTATCGGTCAGTGTTAGAACTTAATGAAGGAGTTAGACGCCTGATTTACTTTGGGTGCTATTTGAAAAGCAAAGTATTTCCAGGAAACTAGAAACGCACAGATGCCCTTGTTGCTTATTGAGTTTGGCATTGTCTATACCACTGAGAGCAATCTCAGGCTTAAAGCCACAGACTGTGAGCTCAACCTATTGCAGTACTTTCACCTCTGGTTACTTTCTTTTAGCAGGATCCAAAAGGAATTTCAGGGCAGATAGACTTTCTGATGGGGCACTCAGGATCAGGCTCTGGTTACAAGGAATTTCAGACTTCTGACTGGCTCTCAGGAATGCCTACAGCATCCTGCCTGTGAGTCTGTCCCACAGCCTCTGTCTCTGCCCTTCTACTGGGCTGTGCCTCCATTGCTTCAGCCTCAGGAAGCTGTAATTGTGTGAAGTGGTCTGCTCAGGGATGGTTACCTTTTACCTCATAGCTCGGTACAGGAACAGAGTGACAAATAGCACTCTGAAATACAGTACATGTATTACTTTTGCAGCCACTTCTATTTTTCCCAGTTCCATCATTTCCACTTACGCTGAATGGCTTATGTTGCTGCTCTGTAGATTAGTATTATAATAAAATTGCCCATTGTGCTAGTACCAGCAGTTTTGTAGGTGTAGGCAAAACACATAAGAAACTGCAATACAGGTATTTCAGTTGTAATAATGTAAATTTTATATGGAGGTAGTTAGGTAGAAGTGAAATTTTAGTACCGTGTTCTCTCACTGAGAAATTCTACTACAAGTACTGCTACATGGTATAAGTTGGCCAAACTTTAAATTTTTTTCACCTCTTCCCCATCTTTCCTAGTGTTTTAGTAGAGTTACTCATTATCTGTTTCTGTCTCCTTTGCAACTTCCATCCACAAGGTCATGGAGAGGCCAAGCCAAAAACAGACAGACAGAAAAAAAAGTCAACTATGTGCCCCAGTTCTGAACAATAGCATAAAAATTCCATGCTGCCATACAGCCAGAGGAAACCCTTATTAGAAAGCATGCAGTGAATAATACTTTTTAAAAGTTCTAATTGCCATTCTTTTCAAAAGGTGATTGAAAACAGCTTGAAGAAACAGAATGACAGTTTCTTCTGTGACAAGAAACATGTCCTTGCTCACTTAGAGTACTTATGTGATATTCTTGAATATGAATCTTCATTTTATAGGCAAGACTGGATTAATAGAATCATGAACAAGTAGGGTAGTATTATGTTTACAGTGAAGTCAGTGGCAAAATTTCCATTGAAGTCAACATAGCAAGAGTATATTTGAAAGCGTAGTACCTCAAAAACATTTTTTTCCTTTTAGCATTACTTTTTAATAAGTAGTAAATTAATGGAACGTGTCTCTGCTCAGGTACAGACATTATAAAGTGATTTGTTTGCGTGACCCTCACTACTTAGGCTGCCTGGTATTTTTTCATTAATTATGCTGGGCGTATCTTTAGTCAGACATAAAAAGACATCCAACTATTTTAACACTGAAACAGTTTTTGCTTTTTATTTTACGTTGTATATTCACTTTTAACAATGTGATTATTCCTTGCTAATTACTAAACATGGAGAATGCAAATTAGTTCTCTTTAATTGAACAGAATTGTTATATTTATTATTATAATTAATTATTTGCTTTTGTTTCTTCATTGTTTTGTCTTAAGAATGAAGATACTTAGTATGTTTTTCTTCCTGAGGTGTTTTGTACAGGTTGAAACACTTCCACAGGGGAAGCAATAAGTAGGAAGTATGACTCATCAAACTTCAGCAAGTCTTTTGTTTATGGAGTAGAAACCCCTCATTTTGAAGATGGGCGAAGCATATCCAAATCCTTAAATTGGCTCTGGGATCTGCAATCATAAATTGCAATGAGTTAACTAGTTAATTAGTGGTGTGAGTTCTCAAGAAGATAATTTCACATCTCACAATCTCATCCTTAGCTATATTGAACTGAATAGAAAGTGTAAGGACTAATTTTCAGAATAGTGTATCCAAATCAGTTCTACCGTAGTATAACAGCACTTGGCATGTCTTTAGCATTACATACAGACACCTTTGATTTTAAATAGCAAGATTTTTCAATTATTAAGTCTGTATTTGTCTTGCAGAGGAGTTGCTGTTTCCTTCTAACACACAATAATATTTTTAATATTATTGAAAAATTGTTGAATATTGTTAAGCAAATATGTATGGGAGTTATTTTCATAATTTGTAGGAAGAGAGCAGCAAAAATCATATCAAAATGAAGTGATGATTTCAAAGAAAAGTTTCAGCCTCAGCTTGGAAAAGTCCTTGATCCATAAGTAAGCAAAGATACCTTCCAAGAGCAAAATTCACTTGCATTTGCAAAGTCTCCAATATCATTTTCTGTCTTGGGTAAAAATTATAACTGTGTGCTCAGTGCTTCCACTGCAGCATTCAGTTACAGAAAGGGACTTTCTACTTGCCCTAATTAGGCTGATAAGTACACATGTTGCTTGATGAGGGCTGTATTGTGTCGATGTGGTGAAGTTCTAAATCTTATTGTTTAAATGGTCTGTATCTGAATTGATCGAGTTTGCACAAAGCAAATTACAAGCACACTGCAACACTTCACTGTTTATTTCTTGTCTTTTGCAGTTACAAAGGTTTGAAAGAACTGAAATGTCTCACCTATTATTTGGGGATTTGACCATTTTTCTTACTCTGGCACTATTTTTGGTCATCTTTGTTATGTCACCTCTATTCTCACTTTGTTATTTGCTTGGAAAAGCACATGGAACGAAATTGTGTTATTATCTAGCAGCATGTATCGGTCTCAGTCAAATCATTACAATGCTTCATAAACCTCAGGTGATCTGGAACAGCTTTTTAATTTTACAAAGCAGTGCTTATGAAGGGCTGCAGTAGTCCTGAGGTACAGTGTGGTCAGGATCCAACTGAGCTACACATCTATGGTTCCTGAATATATACAAAAACTGTCTTTGTGGATGCTCTAGATTTCTGCAAAACAGTATCTGAAGACATTATTGACCGGTATCAAAATTTAATTTTAAGCTCAAGATCACAGGCTTAACTGACTCTGGAGATCTATGCCTGTAGTATCTGTGCGGAATGAACACAAACGTGAGCCAGTTTCTCCTTTCCCCTTCACTGTGTTCGGCTTTACTGTGTAGACCTGGAGTGTGAGCAACATGGGGCAGTATGATCAGTCAGGAAATAGGGGTTGCAGTGCAAGCTCAAACCCTGCACTGAAATAAAAGACAGATACAATTTTATTTAGTGAATTTTACACCATCCACATCCAGTGTGTAATATGAAAATGATAAAAGAACAATATATAAAGTAGTTTTTAGATTATACTGCTTCCATTTCTGTCTGGGTGGTTTTGTTTGTTTTGTATTTTAGAACAAAGCACTGATTCTCCTTTCAATTTTGATCACAGAATCATAGAATGGTTTGGGTTGGAAGGGACCTTAAAGATCATCTTGTTCCAACCCCTGCCACGGGCAAGGACACCTTCCACTAGACCAGGTTGCTCAAAGCCCCGTCCAACCTGGCCTTGAACACTGCCAGGGAGGGGGCAGCCACAGCTTCTCTGGGCAACCTGTTCCACTGTCTCACCACCCTCACAGTGAAGAATTTCTTCCTTATATCTAATCTCAATCTACCCTTTTCTGTTTAAAACCATTATGCCTCATCCTATCACTACACTCCCTGATAAAAAGTCCCTCCCCATCTTTCCTGTAGGCCCCTTTAACTACTATTACTTAAGGCTGCTATAAGGTCTCCCCAGAGCCTTCTCTTTTCCAGGCTGCACAACCCCAACTCTCTCAGCCTGTCCTCACAGGAAGATACTCCAGACCCCTGATCATCTTCATGGCCTCCTCTGGATCTACTCAAGCAGGTCCATGTCTTTCTTATGCCTGGGGGCCCCAGAGCTGGACACAGCACTCCAGGTGGGGTTTCACAAGAGTGGAGTAGAGGGGGAGAATCACATCCCTTGACCTGCTGCTCACGCTTCTCTTGATGCGGCCCAGCATACAGTCGGCTTTCTGGGCTGTGAGCACACACTGCTGGCTCGTGGTCAGTTTTCTATCCACTAATACTCCCAAATCCTTCTCCACAGGGCTGCTCTCAATCCACTCATCTCCCAGCCTATATCTGTGCTTGGGATTGCCCCGACCCTTGTGCAGGACCTTGCATTTGGCCTCATTGAACTTCATGAGGTTCACACAGTCCCACCTCTCCAGTCTGTCCAGGTCCCTCTGGATGGCATATCCCTTCCCTTCAGTGTGTCGACCACACCACACAGCTTGGTGTTGTCAGCAAACTCACTGAGGGTGCCCTCAATCCCACTGTCCATGTCACCAACAAAGATGTTAAACAGCGCCGGTCCCAATACGGACCCCTGAGGAATGACACTCGTCACCTCTCTCCACTTGAACATTGAGCTGTTGACCACAACTCCTTGAGTGCAACCATCCAGCCAGTTCCTTATCCACTGAGTGGTCCATCCATCAAATCCATGTCTTTCCAGTTTAGAGACAAAGATGTTGTGTGGGACAGTGTCAAATGCTTTGCACAAGCCCAGGTAGATGTTGTCAGTTGCTCTTCCTTTTTTCACCCTTAGCCCCTATTGCTGCGTTTTGCAACCCCAGTATAGAAGGCCACCATATTTGTCAAGCACAATTTGCCCTTAGTGAAGCCATGTTGGCTGTCACCCACCATTTCCTTATTTTCCATGGGCCCTAGCAAAGTTTCCAGGAGGATCCGCTCCATGATCTTGCTGGGCACAGAGGTGAGACTGACTGGCCTGTAGTTCCCTGTGTCTTCCTGTTTTCTCTTTTTAAAAATGGGGGTTGTGTTTCCCCTTTTCCAGTCATGGGGACTTCACTAGACTTCCACAACTTCTCAAATAGGATGGATAGTGGCTTGGCCACTTCATCCACCAGTTCTCTCAGGACCTGTAGATGCACCTCATCAGGTCCCATGGACTTGTGCACCTTCAGGTTCCTTAGATGTTCTCAAACCTGATCTTCTCCTACAGTGGGCAGTTCTTCATTCTCCCAGTCCCCACCTTTGCCTTCTGCTACTTGGGCTGTGTCTCTGGAGCCCTTACTGGTGAAGACTGAGGCAAAAATGTCATAAGAGTACCTCAGCCTTCTCCATATTCCCATAACCATGTCTCCTTTTTCCTTCTGGAGAGGGCCTACATTTTCCTGTTTCTTCCTTTTATCACCAACATACCTGTAGGAGCTTTTCTTGTTTCCCTTGATGTCCCTGGCCAGATTTAATTCTGTCAGGGCTTTGGCCTTCCTGACCTGATGCCTGGCTGCTTGGATAGTTTCTCTGTATTCCTCCCAGGATTTCTGTCCTTGTTTCTACCCTCTGTAGGCTTCCTTTTTGTGTTTGAGCTTATCCAGTGTAAGGAACTGAAGGAATTAATGCCTCAAACATTCATTGACATAGAAAACAGCAAGGAAAAGCTGTGGCCTTTGTGATTAGTCTAAGGAATGTCACCCAAGGAAGTGCAGAGTGTATGGAAGGATGCATGTCCCCACTCCCTTGTGGTTGTGTTGCCAAATTTCTTAGATCAACCTCAAAGTGGGGATCATTGGCTCCATTGTGCAAGTGTGATATGATTCAGGCCTTGCTAATCACTGACTTCCCAGAGGGCACCAGAAGCCAGATGATTGCTCAAGAAGCATGAAGTCAGCAAAAATCTGTGGGAACTGGGGGAGAAGTAAAGGTGGGAGGGTGAGCACAACCACCAACTTAATTGCACACAGGGGTTGGTGCTCCCCATTGCCCCTCAATGCATTCACAGAACCCATGGTCCATGTTTTTCCTAGTCTCTCATGGAAATGAGTTTGCAGAATACCTTCCTCTCCTCAGCTAGTATGCTAATCAGCTGATAAGATGAATTTAGAAGGCAACAGAGAACTTTGCTGTGCGTGCACCCACCACCCAAGATTACCAGACTTGAGACAATGCTGGAACCTGGGGTGGTGATCTATATTTCTGTGACTCTCTTTCTGTTATTTTTCTTTTCTTTCCTTTCCTTCCTTTTCTTTCTTAAAGATTTATAAGAGACCACATTGCTTATTATCCTTTTCCAAGTTTAAGCCATTTCTACTGCAAGTAAGACATTTTAACTGGTCGTCTGGTGTTATTTCACCTTAATTTAACCCAAGGGGATCACAGAACCTTTATGACTCTGGACTTCCAGTCCAGTTCGTAACATCCAGGAGCTCCTTGTTCATCCATGCAGGCTACATGGCATTTTTACCTGACTTCCTCTTTGTCAGGATGCATCACTCCTCAGCTTGGAGGAGGCGTTCCTTGAATATCAACCAGCTTTCTTGGGCCTCTCATTGCTCTGGAGCTTTATCCCATGGTACTCTGCCAAGCAGATCCCTGAAGTGGCCACAGTCTGCTCTCCTGATGTCCAGGGCAGTGAGCTTGCTGTGTGCCCTCCTTGCTGCCCTAAGGATCTTAAACTCCACCATTTCATGGTCACTGAAGCTAAGGCTGTGCTTAAGATTCACACTTGATGGAGATTTCTTATTCATGTAACAGTTGTAATTATTAAACATAGCAATAAAATTAACATTGCATCTTTTTCAAATTAAGAAATTGTCACGTCCTGCTCAGATGAGGGCTACAGATGACTGAGATTCGCAAATCCCCAATTGGGACAACAAGTCTCCAAGTCCAAGCATTTATTAACTACCCACAATGTACTAATTGAACACACGATAATTGGCTAAGTATATAGCAAGTTGTGGTGAGCAATATAATATGCCTTGCATTTCTTAATGGAAAAAGGAAAAGAGGGAGATAGAGGGAATGGGGGAACAAAGATCACCGGTCTGGGTTCCTGCGCTGATCCTGCTGGTGAGGGTTCCAGGAGGCGGCTGTCTTTTTCGCTTGCATCAGTCGTCTTCACTTCACTGCTCTCTCCAGGCGGCCGGGGGGGGCAGAGAGGGGGCAGAGAGAGAGACAGAGAGAGGGGGCTCTTTCTTCCCTCCCTTGATTTATACCCACTTTCCTTGGGTCCATCACCTAGGTCGACCCACAGACCTACGTATCCCATGTACTTGATGTAATTAACATGATCATGTCAGCCCTCGTTAGCATATTGAGGGGTGTTAACTTTAATATGCATTTCATGGATAATGGAGCAAAGTTCATTCACCAGACACATGACCCTTGAAATTTGCCCAGGTGCCCCAGAGGAGAGCCGTCCTGTCTCCACAGGGCTCTCTCCCCCAGCTACATCGGTCAGAGTTATCAGCTTCAACCTCCACAGAATGCACCGTGTGACTCATAGTTTTGTCTTGCAAGTGTTTGAGGCATTTCTTCAATCAGCCTCAACTTTTTCTTTCCCAGGTTGTTTGTCTTAGTTTCTCACAGGCCTGGTTTCTCGTCTCTCACAGAAATAAAAAGTTCTTTAATGTTACCAACAGCATCTTAGTTTTCTGGTAAATAAAACTGGGACAGTTTTTCCAGATGGATATTGGCTTGGTTGCTGGCTTTGGTAAACACAAAATTGCATGTTAAAAAGCAGAGGTGTGATTCCATTTTTCCACTTTAGCCAAAAGTAGTTTATTTGGAGACATTATTTCAGTTAGAGATCTGGTTTGTCCTAAACATTCCTGTTATTTGACTAATGTGTTATGACTTTTTTCACTCATTTCTGTCATTGTCTTAGAAAAAAACTTAATTCAGTGTAGAATATTTTTCATAATGAGTATAAATGTTCAAAAAAGTTAATGTTTACATTTAGTTGTGTTCTATTACAAACAACAAATGTTCTCAACAGGTTTGCAAAGGAATGCTTTTCTGCAGAAGCAAAGTACTTATAAATTTCAGGTGAACTATGTGTATCATCCCTAATCATGTAACAGATTATTACTTTTATATTTACATATATATATATATATATATATATATATACTACAGGGTTTATTTTGTCTATTAATAAAGTATTTGACAGTTAACAAAGAAATGTGCTTATTGACAGTACAGCAGAAACTATGAATGTTCCCCAAGGCCATACATTTGGAATGTTACTCCATCAAGATTAATATGGTAAGTTGAGGGGCAGAATAAAATCTTATCTTCTTGCTGAAACTATGCTGAATTAATTACTGTTGGTTGTGTAGTATATAGTTTTCCTAAAATCTTAAAGGCAAGATGCAAAAATTTAACACTGACAGTAAATTTTTGGAGGGGAAAATTTGAGAATTGAAGTTGCTAGTGGGAAAAAAAAATGTCAGAAATAAAGAAACTAGGTTTTGGATGATGATTTTTTTTGGTTTGGTTTTATTTTGGTTTTTAAGCCTCTGTATCTGAATGTAAGCAAAACAGGAGACAGCAAAAAACTCATATTGAGATCTAAGTGACAAATTTACAATGGCTATTTAAATCAGTTCTGTGTCTTTCCTCTTGATTTTTCCAGCACTTCCGTAAAAAGAGTAAAAATAACAAGCAACAAACAAGAATAATCAGTTTTGAAGGTATCAGGGAGACAGAAAACAATGAAAATAAAAAATTATTAATTTAAATTATGACAGAATATTAAAAGCTAGTTATTCCAAATAGTCAATATTGGGATTGATGGTATTTTAACATTATGTTTAATAACTAGGGAATACAGTGAATAGTTCGGCAGCAAAAAATGTAAGTGGCTCAAAGTTACTAAATTAGTCAAAACCAGAGAAGGCTTGTTCAAATTCTGCATAAGCTTTTATAAATGTTTTACTGTGTTGTGCAATAAATATTCTAAATGTGTAGGTATGCTTGTCCTATAAGTAACAGCAGAAGGAACTGAACAAAAAAAATTAACAAGTAGAAATAATGCATGTATATTGCTGTTAGAAGGGGATTAGGTGAGCTACTCCTATTTGTTATTGGACACTGAATTAACTTCCTGCAGTCTAGAAAGTGACCTTGCTATCTTGGGGAATTTTGATATTAACTGCATGTGAGTAGAGAAATCATCATATGGACCATTTGATCTTTTAATGAAATGACTGATTCAGATGTTCATTAGTGCTGAAAATCAGCATCCTAAAACTGAAATTCTCCTTTTCCTTAAGACTGTAAATTTTTTTTTTTTTTTCAAATGTCCATTTTCTATATATGTACGACTAATTGAGGATGTGTTTATTTTTATAGGAATTGGTGATCTTTTTCAGTGCCGTGTTGCCTGTGAGTTCCTCCATGTTAAAGACAGAGAGAGCTGTCTTGACGGCAGTTCAGCAAAGTTTGAAGAAAGCTAACTATGAGAATTTTGACATATTACAAGAAGCATTCAGGCAGTATGATAAGGTTAGTGCTTTGAAAAAGTATAAATGTAAGGGAATGTGTGACATCAGCACTCCTGTGCTGTGGAGACACAGACATGAAGAAACAAGCATAGCAAGGCAAATATAGCTGAAGACTATGAAGACAAGTAAATTCATAGTTATTGCATGTTTTATCTACTGTGATGTGCTATGGAATTAAACACAACAGTAGTTAGAGCCTTTCACAACAGTATTTGAAATATCCAAGTTACAGTGAGCAAGGGACATATATGTGAGCAGGAATAATCCTAGCATTTTTTTGCTCTTGGAAATTTGGTAGTTCTTAAAAGAAATACAGTTGAAAGGATTATATTCATATTTTCTTCCAAGTTGTATTTTTGACTGAGTCACCAAGTATCAGAAGTTCAGATCTTTTCTTCTCTTTGGAAGAAAAATGATAATTGACATTTCATATATAACATCAATAGTAATGTATACAGAATGATTGATGCCTTACTCTCAAAAGAAATCTTGGCTTTGCCTCTACATTTGTGATTAGGTTGTTATCTTGTCACAATACCCTGTCACACTCTTTTAGTCTCAAATCACTGTATTATTTAAGTTGAAAATTCTTTCTTGACACTTTTATATTAAAATTTTAAATTTCTAAATTATTTAGAGTTTCTTTTTTTACTCAGCAATGATACTCATCTGAAATGGTGTGCCTGGTGAGATATATATAGATATATATATATAGATATATATATATATAAATATAAATTCTATACATATGTGAAAACATAAATGCATCTATGTATGTGTTTCTTTTGGTGGAGCCTTTCTATAATGGCTGTTATAACAACTGCTTTATTTGTAATAGAATGGTGACGGAATGATAGACAAGGACAACCTATGAAAGTCCTGTATTCAGCTTAATCTGAATCTAGATGATGAGCTCCTGGATTCCTTATTTGACTGTTGTGGTTTGGATAAAGATGATCTGATTAATTATCTGGAGTTTACAAACTTTCTGAACTGGAAAGACAAAATGGCTGTTAAAGAGTTTGAAGAAAAAATAATTATAAAAGGTAGATGACTTAATACTGGGAAATTGTGGATGTGATCTTATTCTTACAACAGCTATTGAAAGCTATTGGAAACTTTCAATATGAAAACAAGATGATCTTGTTCTGCTGTTGTAGACTAGGTGCTCCTTTAGAAGGGTAGGATTTAGAGAGTGCATTTAGTCACAGAATTGTCTGGGTTGGAAAAGACCTTGAAGATCATCCAGTCCAACCATCAACCCAGCATTAACAGTTCCCAACTACCTACCAGCAGCAGAGCCTCAGATAGAAATGTATTTCAGAACCCTGGAGTCTGCTGAATATTGAGAATGTCCCATAAATCAAGAGAAAGTAAAAAACTCTTAGAATCATTACCAGAAATGCAGATTAATTATGTGACCTACTTTAAGTTTCTCAAGGATTCAAGCAACGCCTTTTACCTCTTAGTCTATATTGTGCTGATAATAAATCTTGGCTGTACCATAACTTTTGTTCATAGGGAAAAACCTAGATGTTCCTCTTCTGCCCAAAGACACAAAGATAAATGATGAGCCACTGCTGAATCAGGAAGATATTCTATTAAAAGAACTGGGAAACTCAGAAAAGACATCATAAACGCTTACAAGATCAACAGATCATGTATTTGCAAATTTTAATATCAAACAACTTCTCAGTACAATGCTGTAGTAGGTGGTCTCCCAACAACGTGTAAGTACAGTGGACTGTACTCCCTTCTGAGCATTATTTAAGACAGAATCAGGAACAAGTTTTAAAATATTGCTACAGGTTCTATTAATGTACAATAGTGAATTGATTTATCTAAACTAAGTTTGTTTAGGACTGTGGCTTGGAAGTTGGCATGGCTTAGATGTTTGGCATGGCTAATCCATTCAAAATGCAAAGGTTAATCTAGATGTCTTTGAGAAATTATGCTGATAATTTTAAGAGAACAGTGTTGTCTTGGAATCATCTAAAATGTTTTCAGCTGGAAGTACTGAATAAGTAGAATATGACCGCAAGATTTCCTGTTGCAGTTCTGCATGATATAGCTCAATCCAGGAATTCTATAAATATGAAAAAAAGACATGAGGAGGAAAATTATATAGCTTGTTATTGAACCTATGTGAGATGAACTATCAAATTTTTTCTTACTTCATACAAAATGTTTTATCCTCCCTGGTGATATCTTTACATACAGGCTTTTCCATGCTACCTCTTGATTGATTCCCATAGGTTATCCAATGTGTGGTGTTCCAACTATTCGTTCAGATATTCCTGCTTCTCGAATTTGCCACATCAGTGACAAATCTAACTATGGTGATGAGGCCCGTGCTTGTGCAGTATTGTTCCCTTCTGTCTTCAGTCAAAAGGGAGAGTATGAAAGAGACTTTTTAAAAACAAGACCAAAGACAGAGGTATATGCATTTCTTCAGAATATTCTTCCAAGGTAAATGTACCTCTAGACATGTGGGAGTGGAAAGTCATATTATCAAATAAACAGTTTGTAAAAGTAATTGTTGCAACATTGCTGTCTTTCTTTACATCCATTCAATTATCTGAAAAATATGTACTCTTCACATTCAAAATTATTCATAAATGTGGTAGATAATAAATTTACTGAGATCCACCTTCAGTAAGTAATATAAAGAAGTACATCAGGTTGTTGCTACTCACATGCTCAAATGCTGTGTTGAACAAGGGTTTGTAATTAGTCTAGGGCTTAAGAGTCTGACTCATCATTTCTACAATGTGAGAAGAGCAAATAAAGCAGTTACAAAATGTCCATCCTTGCACATAGTCAAATTTCTGAGCAAGGTCTCAAGCAACAAACAACATGGTTTAATGGTGAAGTTAGCCCTGCTTTGATTATGTGATTGGATGGATGATCTCCAGAGATCTCTTCCAACCTGTAATAACAGCTATGAGTAGATGCCTTTAAAAGCCCCACAAGAAGATTTTTACAGGTGTGTAAAACTAGTTTCTATCATGGAGGAAGGTTCAATGGAAAACTTTACCCTAGGTGTCTCTCTTCAAACAACCTTGCTGATTTTGCTAATGGCAAATTCAGCAAACTGCTTGAATATACCTTTTAAGTGTTCTTCTGAGGCACGGTTGTAGGCTCAGATCTACAAAGGACTTGTACAGTGATAGACGATATAGGGAGTCACTCACCAATGCTGTGCCATCTCATCTTTCTGAAGAGAAAGATAGGATGTGAGACTGTAGGGATTTCTTGGGGACTATTCTGTCTGTCTGGGGGCTGCTACCACTCTGTTACAGCCCAGAGTTCCTCCCACAGAACAACTTTGTTTCTTCTTCAGTATTGTTTACTCCTTTGCTTCTATGTTTATATGCATTTTCTAGTGAAAAATTACTAAGATAATTCATTACCTGAAATACAATTCATGAGACAATTGTAACAAAATGTGAAAACCCTATCTAAAATGAAAAAGGAAGCCTTGATAACCTCTCCCTCTGTCCTAGTCATTATATTAAATATTCAGTCAAATTTGAAAGTGGATCTGGAACTTGAGCATATATTTTACAGAAAAGAATGTTGCTGGTTAGTGGCTGGGGTTGTAAAAGGTGTGGTGTCATGTTCTATCCATATCCATAAAATGGCTTGTCAGAATGTTGTGTACATGAGCACTTATTATAATCTAGCTCTGAAGCAGGAAATCCATGCATGCAGAATATAGCTAACAGTAAATAGAATTCATGCTTCATTGAGAAGCTCATTATACCTGTCAAACACTAGACAGAACTCTTCTCTGAAGTTATAATGTGGCCTGAGATGTCATACTCCATTGTAGACTATACAGGCTGGACAGAGTTCAGTACAGAACCACCTCTTAGTGTATTAAATCCTCCCATACTCATGAAATGGACTGTTTCGGTATTTTAGTGATGGTCTTTGATTTATTTTGGTATGGGGTGCTAATATTTTCAACATGCTAATAAAATTATTATAGGAAATCCAGAGTCATTTAATACTACCAGTTTTTGTATAGGCCTGTAGAAATGAGTGCAAATTCTGACTACAAAGCAGCTTCAAAAAGCTGTTACAAAAGACCAGAATAGTTCTAGGCCTGCTGTTTTCTTTACTGGAATCCATCCTAGTCTATTGAAGAGAATAGAAGAGTAATAGTGTGTAATTTATATTCAACATGATCATGTTAATAATAGGTAAGGGTTAGTTTAACCCCATGTGCACATCTGATACTCTGTGGTTTAGTCAGTGATTATTTTATGGCTGTTGATGAGTCAGTACAGAGTTGTATTTTATCATAGTGAAGCCAATTTATGAGAAGCTGTAGGCCTTTATTGCCCCTGCAGTGGTATCCTGTAATGGAATATTGCTTTTAGTTTAACTTTTAAATTTCACTAGCTTGTTGAAAACATTAGACCAAATCTGGTTTGTTTTCCTTGTGAGTAATATTATTGATTTAACTGAAACAACACCTGTGCTTAAAGAAACAAAATTTACTCTATGTTTTCCTCCTGAATATCAGCTGGCATAAACTGTCATAGATGAAGCTGCAGATTTGCTGTACTGTGAATCAGGCCTATATTTATACAAAAGAATTTAGAGAAAGATGTCAAACAAGGTTAATTTGACTGTGTTAAAGGTCTTACTTTATCAAAACATGCATAAAATCTCCAGAGCATAAATATAACACACATGCACACACAGAGGATACAACTGAAGAAGCCAAACGTTTGCTAATACTAACAAAAGCACAAGTCATGTCAATATTCTTCTAAAGCCATCTTCCTCTGATGAGTCAACAAGTCAGTGTAATGAGGCATGTAGCAGGAAGCATCCAAGTGGAAAATATGGGGAAAAAAATAGTTCTGTTGGATTACTTTGGTGTAAAACTACAGCAAGACCGAAAGTTCATGTGAACCATTTCATTTTAGTCACTTCACCCACTTATCTATACCAACTGAAGATCTTGCATACAGTATTCTTGCTGTGAAATGCAGACAATAATATAATCTGATTTATGTTATCTGCAAAATGTAAAAATTCAGTGGATAAACAGGACTTGATTTAGGGCGCTTAAAAAAACATTTACATCTCCCTGAATTTTCTGTATTTGATTTTTCCAATGTTGAAGTTGCAGCAACATTACTTTATCAAATAAAGACAATTTTTTATACCCCAGCTTTCATCCCACTAAGATTCAGATTTACTTAATAGGAACTTCTTTGGTTAAGGATGCAGGATGTGGTCTGTAATTTTTATTTTAAGAGTGGGAAAATACTCTTTGGCAAATAGAGATTGCCAGACTCTATATAGTTTAAAGAAACTGTGAACCAGAATTACATGAATTGTATTATTTTGTAGATTGCACAAATTCTCCACAACATTGGCATGAACATTTCAGATGAAGGGTTTGAAGAGATATGGAAGCAAGCCTATATGAAACATCACAAAGAAGTTTGTGCAGAAAGCATCAGAAATATACTGGACAAGATACACGGATCATACACAAAAAGCAGTTGCTAATTCTAGTCTTTGGGCATTGCATTTATTTAAATTGACAATAGTCATAATTCTGATGCTGAATAAAATAAACATTTTCAATAACATGTCTACAGAACTGGAATTCACTCTTTATTGTGTTTCTGAATAGTGGGTTCACCACATATATATAAATGTTACTGCTATCACTGCAGTTAGTAGGAACTGATATCCATAGGAATGAGAGGATACAGCATATTTGTAAATGGAATGCAAATATTTATCTTACATTCATTATCTTTTTTACAGTGTTTCTAAGTTGAAATAATAATACTTTTGAGCATGGACACATTTTGCATATTTGGATTTTTTTTTCTCTTATAAACAGAAGGTCACTTTTGAAAATACTTAAGATAAAAGTTTCAGATATGCAAGACATCTTAATTATCATAGAATGGCATCTTGCCTTGCTTCTAATGTTCCATAATTTCTTGCCAACAAAATGGTAGCTCAAAAAGATCTGGTTGTGGTAAGGTATTTGACATGTTTAAAAATTCATGTGAGAAAGTACTTTACAGTAAGATATTAAGGAAACTACGTAGTCACCAGTGTGGGATTTTACATATTGTTATGAAATAGACTCTCTACGAAGCAATTGGATTAAGAAGTGCAAAAATAAATGGCCAGTTGTGTGGCTGAGGGCTTATATTCTTTATGCAAGCTTATGGCTATTAGGTAATATTAATCTTTCACAAACAAGAAAAAAGAATGGACATTTAGAGGTGTAAGTGCCCATGACATAAAAACACAGGCTAGGTAGTCAGAAAAGTTTTAGAGGGCTTTCAGAGAGCTAAGCATTAACTGTGACCAATGCAATTTCTTGGGAAGAGGCATCTTCATAAATGACAAACAGTTGAGGATCATTATGGAAATGCCAAGAGATATAGATGAAGTCTGGTGAGAATAAACAATAGAAAGTAAGTAATACTAAAATCTGCAACTGTGAATCGGAATGTTCACTCTTCACCTACAGTACTGAGCTTGGTATAAAACAAATGGAAATTGTTCAGTATTGACAGTGAGAATGATTACTTGTAGACTTTTTCAAATTAATTGAAATATCCTTGCACAATGTAATCTTAACATATGGGATTGCAGGAAGGATACCACTTTGTCACCTATTGGTACTTTAAATACCTTCGTGAGACTTGGAGGATGTCAGCCAAAAGTTTTGCTGAGTGCTGTAATGTAAGTAAAGGTTCTATATATCTTAAATACGAGGAATGCACGTGTGATGCCAGCTTAAAATTTTATTGTAACACCTTACTCAAGTGATAGTTAAGATTTCTCTTTTGACAGCGTTCTTGGAGCTTGTAATTTACTAACTTGGTATGCGAGATCCACAAGTCAGGCCCTTTTGTACATTAGTATTGTAGCATTACTAGTAGCTGTCTTATGTCAAGTAAAAAAAATTTGCTTTCTGGTATCTCCAGGGAGCAGGTGGTGGAAATGCTTGATGAAGGCAGGTGCTTTCCTGCTCTGAATGAAAGTTCTTGTGTGCTGTTGTTGCCTTGCCTTCCCATACTGCTGGAAATCTGTGCATGCACTGGGAAGTGTGCAGGAAGCAGACTGTGACTGGCCTAAGTGAAATGACAGCAAGATTAATGTACTGCTAATTTCAAGTGAGTATGTTATGTCAGGATTTCGTTACCTCCAGTAATTCTCTAAAGCTCCTCTTCTGCTCATATAAGGTGGAAGTGTCTTTTACCTTTGTTGCAGTGTGCTTCCAAAAGCATTGAACAGAATTACTTTTTTTTTTTTTTTTTAAAAAAAAAATGCTCTTTTTCTTCTTCAAAAGAAAATTTTAGATAAAATTCCTCACTTCAAGGAAAAATGAAAAAAGTAACATCTCTGTGTGTATGTATATATATATGAGATCTGCTGTGTTTGTTCAGCAACTGGAAATTCTGCGTACCCTATTTTTAAAATCTACTGTAAAGATATCCACTTTCATTCCCCTACTTTCAATGTAATCTTAACTTTGTCAGTGAAATGGAATTAACATTGTTCTTGGGCAGTCTGTGAATAAGTCCAGAATAAAGAAGAGTGATAAATCATGGTTTAGTTTTTTGCCAGTATGTTTTTAACCCCAGACTAAAGGTTTCCTTCTGAGCTTGGGTTTGAAATGAACTGGAAGTGGTGTTCACCTAAACTTACTTCTTCTGAAACTTTAAAGGATTAATCACTGAACAGGGCTGTAAATTCTACTTGTAGGTACTTGTTACTTCTGTGGAGTTTCCCAGTCCTTTTGCTTCCTTTTGTTAGGTGCTTTATGCTTACAGAGTCTTGGCGCAGATTTTTATATTTAATTTCTGTTTGACTTCCCAATATGTGTGAATTCAATGGCATAGGCTTTATACCTTCAAGTTGTGTTCTGTGATTTTTATGGCTCCCTTAATATATTCCAACTGACAGAAGTTAAGTTTTCTTTCATCCATATTGCAGTGTGATTGACTTTATCTAGATAGGGAGCAGATTTAACCAGGAGAGCACACTACCTTTCACTAAGGTACTTGGGCCATATCTAGGACAAAGCTTTCCAGAAAGGGTTAGCAAAACAACCTTCACTATGACTCAAAAGCCACATGTTCTAAGAAAACGTACAGATTTAGCGCTTGAGTGAATTTATTCTGTTGACAGTTATATTGCAATATCACAGCAATTGTAAGTATGTTGATGGAGACTGTGGACAAAACTAATAAATACTGACAAAGGTAAATATTTTGGTAAAAATCGGTGAGTTCTAGACTTTTTGGGCCAAATTTTCTTCATAGAATTTTCATAAAATTAGACACTGGGTAAGAGAGAGCACATTCAGATATTTGTGTACTATTTCTCCATTAATCTCTGTTAAGCTACAGTGATTACTTCAAAGAATAGAATATTTAATAATTATGCATTTTTAATTGATTCTGTCAGATGAATTGAACTCCCCTTAAGTTCATCTTAGAGCGAATGCATTGGTTTCCAGGGACAGGGTGGGAAGGTCTACCTTTCTTCAGAGGTAGAGGCCAGTGTTTCTCCCCTAAAGTCATGTTAGGGATACTGACTTTCAGTAACTGAAAACACTTACCTGTAAAGGCTGAGGATTTGAATGTGCAAAAGTATTTGTTATTCATTCTATATTTCTGGCTCTTAATCTTTAGAATGTGAATGTTAGCTCAGATAAGTGTACAGCTAATATGACTTATTTGGCAGGGACTTGTGCTACATACAGATGTTCGACTTGATTATTCTTTTTACTGTTGTGTAATGGAAAAACATGTCTGTGCAATGACTTGTGTTTCAGATGCTGGAAGATCCAGCCACTGTCTTCCATAGAAACATATGTACAAATAATTATAGACATATTTACAAATAAATACAGACCTTATCTTGATACTATTACTACATATCTTTAAAATACGTGTTTTTTTTCAGTAAATTAAGAATTGCTGTTTTTCAGTGATCTTACCAGACTCGAGTAAATTTCCTGGTCCTGGAACCCATTCTTAGATATGAATGGCCAGTTTTGTTTGGTTGTTTGGTTTGGTTTTTAAACAACTATATATAATTATTTGGGTGCTAAACAGAATGCTAATTAACCTTTATGCTAAGAAGAATACTTCAAATGGATGTCTAAGCAGAAAAGGAGGTACTGGGGCAAAGTGCCCAGAAATATGATTTAAGTCTTCATCTTGCCAACAGATATGAATAGGGAGGATTTTTTTTGGAATGGCTTATGCAGCCTAATTAGTTGGTGTTTGCCATTAGGAGGTATTTCTTTGGAATCGAGTTATTTATATTTGACAGTCTTATCATTGGGCACCACCTGGCTGAGTGGTTTCACCTTGCTGAATGGCCAGAATGCTTTTCTAGCAGATGGGGATGCGTTTAGGCATGCCAAAGAAGCACTAAATGCTGCATGGTCGAGTAGTTGGGATAGGATCTATATTTCTTTATTACTCTTTAAAACTATAATAATTTTGAAAATGCCAGCAGAGATTATGCAAACCTGTAGGAAAGATTTTGGCATTTTTGGTAGGGATCAATCTGCAAAGGGAAAGGTAGGTAGACCAGTCTCGCTGTGGCCTGATTTGCTACGATAGATGCTTGTTGATTTCTGCCAAGTGTGTGTGGCCTCTGAGCACACTAGAGTAGATGGATAACTTGTGCATCCTGGGTCCACATTCCTGACTTCCAAATGTCATAACCATGGAAAATCTATATTCCTCGTGACTGTTTAGATTCCTGTGTTATGAAATTAGGTGGTAAATTCTGTAATACCTAAATAGTAAAACTTTGGTGTATTCTGCATGTTTTCAAATCTCACTCCTTATTCCAGTGCCTAAATGTAAATGAGAATGGCAAAACCAAGACCTAACCTGAAAGAAAGAGACAGGCCTGAGTATCACTGACAGATCTTATTCATGTGGCTTTTGTGAAGTGTCTCTTTCTCTAGTAATAGGGATCATACCTTCTGCATCTTAAAAAAAAAAAAATCTTGTGTGTGGTGTGTGTATCCTAGATAAGGTTCTACCACACAGATCAAAAGCAGCAGGGTATCTTAAGAACACCTACTTCTAGAAATAGCTTTTCTATAACCTTGAAATTTTCTGCAGATTCAAGAAAATGTCAAGTATTTTTTCAAATCTGAGGTGGAACAAAGGTCTGAAGTAAGAGCAGAAGGGTTTTCAAATGGTACCAGTTAATCATGGGGTGATTTTGTTTTCCCAGCCGTTTTCAACAGATTATAAAGACATATTTAATCCCATATACACTTTACAAAAAGTGTGTCTCCCTAGTGAGCAACAAGGATGAATGCATAAAAAAATTTGAGGCTACTTTTTTCTAGTCAGCAATGAATATAAGATAAGAATGTAAAGAGCATCTGTACAGGGCAGCTGAAAGGTTCTGTCTAGCCCAGTGTCCCATCTGACGGTGGTCAAAAACATGATTAGGGCGAAGTAGCGGATCAGGGTAAACATGGTGTTTCTTCCTAGCTGTCTCCCAGTGCTTCAACCGCTTGAACTTAAAGTGGTTGAAAGGAAGGAAGGACCTTTCTGCAAAACATATATTTCCCTTATATTCAATGATCTTAAACAGGTTTCTCTTAATTAACCTATGCAGTCTGCCCTTGAAACTTTATGATACTCTAGCCTCTACAACATCTTCTGGCAAGGAGTTCCACAGCTTTAGCAATACACTGAACAGAAAAACTTGCTCATTTACTTGTTTTAAACCTTCTTTCTGATGGCTTGACATGATGTAAGATAATTAATTTATTGGAAGAAACCACAAACAAATCAATTTCTAGACACTGTCCAGAATACAGATATAGGCCTTTGTCACATTCCTCCTAAGTCCTGGCCAGGGAGTGTTTGCCTAGCTATTGCCTGTATAGATATTATTCCAAAGTGTTCTTTTGACATATTACTTTTCACTGAAGTTTTTCTGATTCTGCAGCAGTGAACATGGATTTAAAAGTAGGAGATGGGAGTTTTCTTTGTGCTGTCAGTTTATTTCCCCTAATAACAGTATTAGGAATGTTACTATATTTCAAACTTGGAGACAATGGTAGTTTCAAAGATGCTTTTTACAGTTACAGGGCAGCCAGCACAGACTGAGTCATCAAGGCACTGCTGAGCACAGCAACCTCATGATACATAGTTGTATGCTTAATGCAAACACAGTCTCCCATGACCTGCTTTGCTCTTATAAAAACACTGAGTCAAGTGGATTTGATTCCAGTTTGCATGTTGTTGTAAGAACAGAATATGGTTCAGCTTATACACCTGGGCAGTCAATGTGTTTTCTTTCATAAAATGCTTTGGAGGTGTTGGATGGAAGATGAAGCCTAAGATTAAACTGGTTTTGCTTTGATAAATACTCTGCTTCAATGCCACCATTGCATATATAGCAAGGTAAATTGTTAAGCTGCTAGTGAGAGATGTTTATTATACTGAGATGTAATTCTTCCTCCGAGTAATTCAGCAAAGAGATCTAGCTACCACTTACATCTATAATAGGCCTAGATTAGTGCACAGGCTCATGCTAACCCTATGAAAATAAAGATCAGATTCAGTCTGTTAGCTTTCTTAAATGCCAGGTCTCTTGATCTAGGGCCAAAGCTAATGCTATCTGCCAGTGTTCTTTTTGTTGTTAAGTCACAGTGGGAGTATAGAATAATGCTATCTCTGTACTTATTGGTCTTCTTATTCCAGTGGATTTATATGGGTAACAAAACAGCACTTGTACAATGATTCACTCAAAGTACAGTGCTGCCGAAAGCGAATGGATTCCAGACTTCTGATCTCTTAATAAGCATCTCTTTTGAAGTCCTTATTTGCACCCTCTTTAGAATAGAAAGCGGTACAAAGAATTTCTGAGGAGAAAACAAGCTAATGATTAATTACCTCATTTGAACGGGACTTACATTACAGTTAAAATAGTAACACGATGCATAGGGCTGGTTTCTTTTTTTTAGTCTGCTTTTGTCCTTATTCTACAGGCAGGGAAACAAAAGACTCATGTTGCCATTTTCTAGGACAAGTTTTAAATGTGTTTGTAGCTGTGCAGCCGTCTACTGAAGACTATAGGTAACTGTCCCTGCATGCATGCAGGCACATAATTGTCTGTCACAGACCTGGTTTTCTAATTTAATCACACAGGTGGTTAAGTAAACCAGTTAACCCTTGTTAAACCATCATCAATGCTTAATACTTCCTTGTTTAAGATGATAGTACACAGTTCACCTCTAAAGTTGCTTTGACATGAAACCTAGTATTAGGAACAGAGGGATAAGATTGGGACCAAAAGCTTAGATATCATAACAGGTATTTCTCACTTGAATAATAGCTATTGTTTCTTAAAAGTTGGGGGCTTTTTGATTGCTGGAAACAATAGCAGTAGCCTGAGTATGTTGTCACAGAAAGTGCTAGCACTTCATTATTGACTCTTTTTTTTTGCTTCAAACCATTTGCCACCATTTACTGTGTTTGTCAGCTTTTCAGTTCAGATGATTTACTTAGGGATAATATTGAGGATAGTAGGAACACACAGCCTAACAGTGTTTGCAGGTGGTCAGAGATGTGCTAACAATGCTCCAGTGTCATGATTATTTGCCTTATTATTTGAGAACAAGAAGAACTGAGAGATTACTGAATAAAATACTGCATGACAAACATTTGTTCATAAAACTAAGCATAGTTCAGATGAGTGATGGTTGTTTCCCTTTCTACTGCTTTTTCACTGGAGAATTAGGCAAGCAGAGTGCTATCCTGAAAAGAGCTTTGCATGAATTGAAGAGCTTGGGGCTTGAAAGATGTCAAGTGTCACATCAAATTCTCCCTCTGGTTAACCAGTTAAGAGGATTGGTGGGGAAAAAAAACCCTGTTTGGAATGAAAGGAAAAGAAACTAACATTTTGTATGCTGTTACACAGTTTCTGTGAGTTATTCCCTTCTTAAGTGCAAAATACCCAGAGGTAGAGAAACAGTCTGTCCTCTTTTTATTTCACTGAAGAAAGTAGAAGAACAAACACAATAAGAAGAAAATAGGAGGAAGTGGGGAAATGAGAAATAACTATGGTATGAAAAGACACAATTTTTCTTTTGAAAGAGAAGAAAAACTTGCATCAAAATGACTTTGTTTGTTTGTTTTTCTTTGATAAGAAGAACCAAAGTCTGAAGGGACTTTTTAGTCAGCTCCATCCATTTCCGCCAAAGAGCTACACAGAAGAAAGCCGTGATTCTCTAGAGGGAAATGCCTGAAAGTACGTTGACCCTTTCTTGAAATACAGCAGAGGGTTTGTGGGAAAAAATGTACTGTAGCTGTCTATAGAGTAGTAGTCATTCTTCAATATTAAAAGATGGTTTGAAACATTGAGAGAAAGGTTGTGTACTGGATTGTACAGCAACGGTGTGCCAGTACAACGTGTGCCTACCTCCCCACCATGTGCAATATGCAGCACCTTTTATGGAAAGATTTTTCTACAGGATGGTTATACCATCCTGTATATACCATATTTGTTTCATGTCTCGCTACACTTCTTAGGCCCGTTAAGTCCGATTATAAATTCCTGCAGGGAAACAGCAGATTTTAGCACTATCTAGAGGTTATGGATGGATTATTGCATCTATAATAATGAAATAATTTTAGTAAGTAACTTCAGATACTCGGAAGCTCTTAGTCTGAAAAGCAAGTCCTGGTTTTCTGCATAGTCCTTTTCAAATAGAAAGTGCATGAGATACTGAGTGTTTTATTAGCCCAAGAGGTGTGGGAGGAAGGACTCTATGTTAGGCAAATGATTAATTTGTGGAGACATGTGGAAGAAATGAGGAAGGGAGCAAAACAAGTAGGGGCAACAAAGAAATTTCTACAGAATGTGTTTTTCTTTCCCCCCTTTAATAAGTCACATAAGAATTTTCCACAGAAGGGGTTTCTTTCTGTTAGTCATTTAATTAGTTAGAAAAAGGTGAATAAAGACAATAAAATGATGACTGCTCCTTATTCCATTCTTACTCTTTTTCTTGGTATGTTGAAGAAACTCTGACAAAATCCACAATAGTTCTTATATATATCACTCATTTAAACTAATCTATTCTGCTGATTCTTTATTTTGAATGTCTATAGAAATATGATCATACATCACTGTTCTTCCCTAAGTTGTTAGCTGTGCAATAGGAATATGGTATTTTATTATTCCCTTTAATTTCCCTGGAAACTGTAGGAATATTAATAATTATCACTTTATTGAGTGACTGCTGGTGGGGTAATGTAGAAAATATACTTGCCTTAAATATTTTGTAGTGTTTCATACAAGTGGGAGGATGTGTTGTATTGCTTCAGCTCCTGTTTCCTGGCAGAATTGAGAGCTGAAACTGCTCATTGCATTTCTGGTAAGCAACCTTTTTTTTTTTTTTTTTTTTTTTTAATTTCTACATGTCATTCACATCCTTAATTCCAGGATTCCAAGTTAGTAATGTTATTCTGGAATTGTGAGTAGTCCAAAATGTTTTCAACCAGCATTCAGGAATGTATTTAAACTATAAATACAATATATGAGATAGGATAGTTGGTGATATTAAGCACAAAATCTCTATGCCTGTCTACTTAACTGTACACAATTTATTGAAGCACCAGCTTGCCTAAAGGTTCCTTTATATTAAACAGAAGATGTGCACTTGTGTGGCAGTTCAGTTTTTCAAACATTTTTCTCAATATTCAAGGACTAAGGGAAGGTTTAGAACCACCTTGATACATCTGTTAAGCATATGAGCTTGGTGGGGTATTTCCACTCAGCATTTAATTTACCTTCAGTCCCTAGCCTTTGCTTCTGCCTCCCATGTATGTGTACATTAGATTACAACGTGGAAGAGAGTAGCTTTCCTTGAGATCAAGTTGCTCATGAGTTTGATTTAATAAATTTTTTTTAAACCAAAGGTCTTGTTTTGTAGAACTGTGTTGGCTCAACATTTGCTCTTAATGATTCATGTGATTTAAAGCTATTTATTTTTACTGGGTAGCAGTAGAAAGAGTGGGAAGCAATCATAGAGTCACAGAATGGTTTGGGTTGGAGGGGACCTTAAAGATTATCTAGTTCCAGCCCCCTTGCCATGGGCAGGGACACCTTCCACTAGCCCAGGTTGCTCAAAGCCTCGTCCAACCTGGCCTTGAACACTGCCAGGGAGGGGGCAGCCACAGCTTCTCTGAGCAACAACCTGCTCCAGTATCTCACCACTCTCATAGAGAAAAATTTCTTCCTTACATCTAATTTCAATTCTAACCTTTTTCAGTTTATAACTATTACCCCTCATCCTATCACTACACTCCCTGATAAAAAGTCCCACCTTTCCTGTAGCCCCCTTTAAGTACTGGAAGGCCGCTATAAGGTCTCCTCGGAGCCTTCTCTTCTGCAGGCTGCACAACCCCAACTCTCTCAGCCTGTCCTCATAGGGGAGGTGCTCCAGCCCCCTGATCATCTTCATGGCTTCCTCTGGATCTGCTCAAGCAGGTCCATGTCCTCCTTCTGTTGGGGATGGTCCCAGAGTTGGTCACAGCACTGCAGGTGGGGTCTGATGAGAGCAGAGGGGAAGAATCCCCTCCCCTTGACCTGCAGGACACACTTCTCTCGATGCAGCCCAGGATACAGTTGGCTTTCTGGGCTGTGAGTGCATATTGATGGCTCACAGTCAGTTTTTCATCCACCCATACTCCCAAGTCCTTGTCTGCAGGGCTGCTCTTAATTCACTCACTGCTCAGCCTGTATCTGTGCTTGGGATTGCCCAACCCACATGCAGGACCTTGCACTTGGCCTTGTTGAACTTCATGAGGTTGGCATGGGCTCACCTCTCCAGCCTGTGGATGGCACATCCCTTCCCTCCAGCGTGTCGACTGCAGCACACAGCTTGGTGTCGTTGGTGTCTGCGCGATAAAATGTAAAAGTTTAAATCCAATTACCCACTGCTGTAGCTTTTTTAATTGAGTACGTCTGGGGAGGGGGAAAAAAAAAAAAAAGAAAAACAACAACAACAACGACGACGACAAAGTAAGAGCTTTTTTCCTGTCGAACGGTGGCTTCGCAGCGGTTTCCCGGCGGCGCCCAGCGGCCGCAGAGGCGCGGGCTGAGGGGTGGCCTAAATATCTGCCCCCAGGAACTGTTGCAAAGCAGAGGAGCAGAGCTGGGGAATGTCACATTTCCAGCTCTTGAATCTGAGCTATATTAAAACCTATCAGTCTTTCTCTATAGAAAGCAAAATGAAACCAAAACAGATTGAGCTGAAAATCAATGAAATTGCTCCTGTATTAAGCAAAACCTGAGAGTATATAATTTTTTCTCTTAAATCCTCATCTGACAAATTTCTTTTTCGAATAAAAACCTAGTCTCTAAACCAAAAGACATCTTTCTGTAAGGTCAGAGAGATGGGGGAGGGAAATATAAAAACCCTCCTGTGTTCAGAAGGACTTTTTTTTTTT